CTCTTCTTTTTTCCATAAACTAGGGATTGGTAATGCACTTCTACCAAGGACTGCACATTAGCTCCTCCTACAATTCGACTTGGCAAGGGTTGCACACACGAGGTACAATTCTCCTTTTTAGGTCACCTGCCTGCAAGGCTTTCGCTAGGGTTTGTGTTGTCTTGTTCTTTACCTCTCACACGCGGCGCTCTCACCACCCGACGAGCTCAATATCTCTTTTTTCCTTCGGTTTGGTTCAAAACAATCCTAAGTCACCCTCGCTCTGGCGATGATCCATGCTCTCCTGTCTATTCTTTTGCACTAGCTTCTTTTGAAATGAGTTGTTTGTCTCTTAATGACGGAAATGACTCAACAGTTACATTTGAGTCGACCTATTAATTAAAATTCATCCTTTTTTATTGCACTTATTACATTGTTGGACATCGACAAGTTGATGCATGTGAAGGGGAAGTTGATGCGACACCTAGCAGTCGAGTTCGATAACTGTGTGGATTCGATTGAGGGAACCGACAAGGAGCTAAGGCAGAACTAGTGTGCGGGAGATCGAGGTGAAGGCGTCAAAGCACGGGAGCTGTGACGAGCAGTGAGCGTAGGCTATTGAAATTCCATCTCAAGCACTTGAGCAAGGAACAAGATGAGGGTACACTTGGTTTCGACCAAGAATCGTGAGGTTAAGGTTATTCTTTTTATGTTTATTTTTTTTTCTAAATATATTGGAAAAAAGTACTAAATAAGTTTTATAAGAAAATTTTATTAAATTCAATCTATTTGGATGAAATAAAGAATATTGTGATATAAAAATATAATATTAATATATAAAATAGGTTTTGTATTAATTTGGAAAACTAAAAATGATACCTAATAATGAGGATTAATTTATTAAAGGTTAACCTTTTTATTATATAGAAAATGATAAAATTTTAAATTTTAAATTTAATTGATAAAATTTTTTATATTGATAAGAATAATGATAATAATAAATTTATTACAAATTATTTATTTTTAGAGTAATAATATGTAAATAATAACATTATTTTAAGAGAGATTAAAAGATCTAAAAACGAAATGATGATTTACAAAGCCCAAATAATGGCGAATTACTTGTAAATAAGTAGATTAATTAAAATAAAGTGACAAGAATTTCTTACATACATGATTACAGGTTTTCTACTAGAGTCAGTTGATAGAATACACAAGGAAATTTCTTAACTTTTGACCCAATGTAGCTTTTTGGTTTTATCTTAACTAGTTGCATTAGTAGTTACTGATACCTTTTAATTCACTTGCATAGTTTTTTTTATTTATTATGCTATTTTTTTATTGGTCACATTGTCATGAATAATTAGCTATAATTATTTTATATATTAATTTGCGGATATAAATATATATAATTGACAGTTGTGCATATGAATGATATAATATAAGTTATATAGAATCCGGGATTTACATGTTGATTATGATGGAGTTTGCCCATTTAAGTTTTTAGCTGGCGAATGCTAAGATAATTGTGCGCATAAATGAAATAGATTATTAACATTAATGTATCTTTCGGTACAAGTTTTAGACGATGTTCTTTTGATGACTGTATAAAAATAAAATGATATAGATATGTTATTAACATAGTTAAACTTATTGGATATTTTGAATTATCGTCAATGATTATATCTGAAAATGTAAAATGTGTAATGTTTTTGTATTGATTTATAGTACATATGACCAACATGCATATTATTTCATTTTTGTTATGTTATTATAGTTTAGAAGTTGTACTCATCGACTTTTATAGCTCACTATTGTTTTAAATTAACTTTCAAAATTAAGCTTTTGTGTAAAGATTAATAATAGAGAAAGGAATATCTATAGAAGGCGTGGAAAACCTGAGTTAAGGTAAATTTTTCATTTATTTAACTTTTTTAAAATTTATATTATTTCATTTGATTAAAATTTGGAATTTTTTATTATTTAATAATATGTTAATATTATTTTAAAATGCAGACGACGTATGTTAAGCCGTCCTCCAGGGATACTTCATGCTCGATCACTCTCAGCGTTGGAATCTTCCAGCTTATCTGACCCATAGACACCTGTAAAACTATCTCTCGTAGCTATGTGGTTGACATAAAGTGAGTCTCTTAAGGCACTAGAAATTCTCAAACTCGTCTTTCATGAAGGCTTAAAAAACATACTCTTAGACATATCACAAGCAAAAATTAATAATAGAAGTAATTAATTAAAGTTTATGCGGCTATGAGGTCTTAGAGAACTCAATATATAAACCTAAGAGTGACGGGTTCTATACATTCGGGTGACCGAGTAGCCTTCGTGGTCCCTTGAGAATAAATATAGCTGAGCCTAGTCTCATACGAGTGCTTGCGGTTCCTCTCACTTGAAATTTTCTTTTTCTTTATCGAAGTTTTGAGACGAGACACTCGTGTTACTCTTTTTTTTTTCTTTCGGTATTTCT